CTCTCTGCTCGCTTGTTTAATCTCTTTTATATCTCAAAAGAGATTGACTCAAAATACACCCTATACTAATCCTGCCTCATTAACATAACAAAGACAACCCATTCCCAAATGGGATTATAACCACAGGTATAGAGGTTAGGATTTATAACACATATTTTGGGGGGACATAATTCAATCCATAACACTAAGTTAACATATTATTATACAAAATATATTCCCTCCAGCATCCTGTCTACGGTTAGCCTGCTTTGAAATGCTTGGTCTGTGATTGTGCTAGTCTTCTACCCTGAGGCCAGAAATATAAATGGATTTCACTGCACATGCTAGCAAGTGTATCAAAAGGATTTTTGAGATTTCTTCCTAATTCCTCACACAGTATTTTGAAAGCCTTAAATTTTATATTAGAAAACATAATAAAACAAAGATACGCTGACTGTTTATTCTCTGGTTTGCACTCATTCTTGGTTAAACATTATTAAATTTGGCTACTTGTGTGTTTTATTGTTCCATTACAGGAGGGTAAAGCAGAAACTATTAATTTAGCTGGAAAATTCTAACCAGACAAATATGCAAGTATAATTCAATTCAGTTCAAATCAATCTTGCTCCATTCAGGTCACCCAGCACTTATCAGTGCCTATTATGTAGCAGGCGCTGTGCTGGGTTATTTTACACATATTGTATCTAATCAGAGATGGCCTTCATATTTATTTTGAGAATTACCAGATAGCCAGGGAATTCTAGGGATTTGATTAGCAAATGTGCCTTTAATTTAGGAGGACATATAAAGGTGAATTTGGGATTGTTGTCAAATTTCTTAGGTACCTGAATTAAGGCAAATCAGTAAGAGTCAAATGTGGCCCTTGGTTTTCCCTCAGAGAATTTAACTCCAAAAACTATTAGACAAGATGAGCATCCAAGAGTGAAATAGTATTAAAAGTTATAATTTTGCCAGTCTTTCATGAAATATTTTGACAGCCTCAATTTTGACTTTGAAACAGACTAATTTCTTTTTTTTTTAAGATAACTGCTATCTTCAGGGTAAATCCTTCTGAAAAATAAGAAGGCAATATTTACAGAGAAACTATTCAGTGAAGAAGGTTTTAAGTAACAATTGTTGATTTTGGTATTATTATTCGTTGGAAACTTTTAGCCCAGAAGGCAGTAGTTATGTCTTTTATACCTTATGAACAGGTCACAAGGTTTGTATCTTTAACAGGCAGGATATTGGAATGTGCAAGCTCTCAACCTTTTAAGAGCACTTTTTGACAAATCGTTCTATTTTGCATCCAAAATAGTGACTACCTGCAAAGTCCGCATTGCTCAGTGTCAAAATAAGAAATACTACCTGAATAAATTATTTAAAATGTAGATGACAAGATTATGAATCAGATTCTCAGGCCTATTTAGTTAGTCTATTCATGATCCAAGTCAATAAATAAAACAGCTAGCCTTTCTGAATAATAAGTGCATACTTTGGAAACACTTGGAGTTTTTCATATCCACTCTAGACACTTTTAAAAAAATCAATCAACAAAAAGTTATTGAGCTCTTGGTTTGTATCATGCTAGCTAATTTGAAAAAAAATAATTTCTTGAGAATTAATTTTAGCACATAGTTTAAAATTTACCCCTTCCTCTTCGGAGAAGCAACTTCTAAGTCTATGCAAGTTATATATGTATTTGTGTTTTTTTTCTTTCTTTCTTTTAATGGTACTATTCTCTATTTTGTACCTTAATTTTTTTTTCACTTAATACTCTTGGGAAATTGCTTCATTTAGTACTCATAAAGCTAAGTCATTCATTTTAATGATTGCATAATAGTCTGTTGAATGGATGTGTTGTAATACATTTAACTAACATTCTCCTGATGGCCATTTACGTTGTTTCCAATCTTTAACTTTTATAAGCAAGGCTACAAAATATGTCCTTGTGCATGGAATTTCACATATGTATATAAATGTGGGATATATCCCTAAAATGGAACTGCTAGAACAAAGGGTATGTGCATTTTAAAATTTGATATTGCCAACTTTATGGCAGTTTTAAAGTATGACTTTTTATGATCCCTGGTTCTCATTATTTCAGTTTGTCATCTTCAGCTGTACATTTGTACTTGGGTTGATAGATTGTGCTTCAAAAATAAAACGAATTGGTTTCATGGCTGATAAAATCTAATGAAATTCAAATGATGGATTGTTAGAAATGTTGATTGATGTTGCAATATTATAAACAATTAATGATTTTATAAGTGGGAAAAATATGTCAACAAAGTACCTACTCTGATGAAAACCTATACCACTCAGCATTGGGCTAAAATGATAAAATCTACTTTGCTTGTCATGAATAGGATGTCTATGTTTCAATAACACTGAAACAAAAGGACTATATTTAACATGGCATATGATGTGATCTAAATGCATAAACATGGGTAGAGGGCCTATGTAACCACAAATCAAATCTTAAAATATGGTGAAATGATTTGCCTAGACTTAGTTATCAAAAATCACTAGTGGACTTCT